CTCGGTGCGAGAAGAGGCCTTTGGTCAGCAGTAGCCAATTATAGTCTATTGATTGTTGATGATGATACTTTTTGGAACCACAAACATATTTTAAAACAATATCTCAAAAACTTTAACCCCAAGAATCTCAGACTATCTTACAGAACTAAAGTTAAACTTCAACTTTCAACTTCAACCGATAGATAACCGACCACCTATAAATCCTCAATATAAAGCGATGGCAAATAAAATGGATCACGTAATCGAATAGGAATCGAGTTGAATCGACTTGGGTGTTGTTACCATTGATGCTCGCGTTAAGAATGGAACATTCGATACTTTAATCGATTTAGATCAATCGGTATGGAGAGGGTATCGATTTTTATTTCCTGTTTTGTTAGAGAGTTTTATTGTATGGTTGAAGGTTAAGTTAGTTTGGTTTATAAACAAAGTCTTGGTTTTAGTAGGGTTATCAGTTAAACTGAGACAATTTCTACACTGGTGTGTGTACAAGTGTGGAAGAGTTATGCTTCGGCACGAATGGGCCGGCTCGACCGGAGTGATAGCACGGCCTCACAGAAAAGCGACGTGGAACAAAACTGGCGTGGTGTTTCATCGTGTGATAGGTTACCGGCCAGTTACCCCTGTTATCCTCAAATTCCTTATCCCTAAAAGGCCGGTATCGCACTTGTAACACCTCTGGTGTTTCGGGTGTCCATGGGCGGCGGCGATTGCTTAACATCAGACGATATAACCCATGTTACGAATAAAAAAAATATTTGTTAATTGAATCGGCTCATAATCGAACTAGCGTTGCAATCGTAAATATTTACATAACATAACATCACGCTTTTTATCCCGGAAGGGGTAGGCAGAGATGCACACAGAAGTAACACCCACTTTTCACTATTTATGCGTCCCATGTTATAGGGGTGAGCCTATTGCCATATACTGGGCACATTTCCAGACTCCGTGCTACTACTGCGAATTTTTTTAAAACCCAGTAATATTTTGCCCGACCCGGGAATCGAACCTGAGACCCCTTGCTCGGCAGTCGCACTTACGATCACTCGGCCAACGAGGCAGTCTATTTAAGCAACCTATACTCAAAATTATGAAGAGATACAAAAAATGTTTCTAGTATAGACTAGGTCACTATCACACTATCGTACATATATAGATACATATTCGTGTCTTGTCACTCTGTCGTGTCACGAACAGGTCTACTTGTGACCACAATTTAAGCACTGTTATTGTTACATCGAGCTAAATATAACTGTGATTTGAAATGCTATTCATATGATCATTAGATCACGACTTAATAGTCAAATTTGGTGTTATATCAATCGTGTTATCTAATTAATATAATTGGCTTCGTTTTTTTATTCTAAAATCTAATAGGCGAAGGTAAATTGGTAAAGTTACAAAAATAGCAATTTGAAACTGGGAACGTATGAGTATCTTTTATGATATCTCTGCATGATTATGATTCTTGCATTTGTTCATTCATTCTGAATATATACACAGGTTATATTGCAAAAATGCAATGCAATATCCCATGCATTTTTTTGTCAATGTTTTGAACAATTTGGAAGTGGTACAAATTCAAGGCATTTTTTGTATTAAACTGTCAAACACCAAGCGGTCACCGGTGACCGCTCGGTGTTTGACAGTTTAATCCTTAATTAGGCACGTTGAAATTTCAAATTGAAGTGTTAGTAGTAGTTTCGAATGGAGAACGAGCAAGAAACTGTTAACAAAGCCAGAACAGGGCAATATTACAAAACAAAATGTACCTACAGGTCTTTAAAACGCTAGCTTATTACCAGAGGTACAATGCACAGCGCAATCATATGAAACAATTTGAAACAAGCGACTGTCTGTCGATTTAAAAAGTAAAAAACACGAAATAATACTTCGTCACTCTCAACAGCGTCATGTCTTTGTGGCCCGGAGGTTTAAGACGCCCGCTTCTCATGCATGAGTGTGCGGGTTCAAAACCTACCAACGGCAAGTACCAATGTAACTTCTTCAGAGTTATATGTACTTTCTAAGATTATTTAGACACCACTGACAAACAGTGAAGGAAAAACCTTGAATTACAATTTTTTGCTATTAATTAGAAATCGCCAACCATGTGTTATTATTTATATTAATTAACTTCCATAATTCGGTTATAATTCGGTTCTTATGACACGACTACTCCAATTAAACATTTAAAAGTTTAAATAATTCAATTATGAACTACATTTAAAAAGACTTGACTTGAACCCTCTCTGTTTTTGAAGTTGATTAATTAACTCGTCGAGTACCGGTTTTGTAGACACAATTATAGAACAATAGGTTGCGGTCACCGGTGACCGCTTGGTGTTTGACAGTTTAATATTTTAATGGTTCTCCTAAGTGCAACAAACACTTTTCTGAAAACCGCATCAAAATCGGTTCAGCCAATCGCGAGATAATGGCGGACAAACAAACAGACATACATACAGATAAACCTAAGAACCGCCTTTTATTCTGTTAAAAAAGCCACAAAACAAAAAAAAAATCACCCCTTCTCAATGAGCTAAAAATAAGCACTATTTTTATCTGAAGATAGTCATTTTGTTTCAGATAATTAGTAGCTAGGTCTCATGAGACGTCTGGGTAAATCACTATTGAACCTAGGCTATTGATGGTACCTAGATATTAGGTCTGAAGTGAGAGCATCAGAGACGCCGTGTATTCTTGTTATTGAAGATGATTTTGATGCTATATTTTATTAATTTTTGAGGATTTCTTGTTATTAATTCTGGGTTAAAACTTAAACTTGATTTATTAATGCTTGTGGAGTTTTCGTTATATACCGTGAAATCTATTTTTTTATCTGTCCCGTTGGAAAACAACTGGCCATGAGGAGTATTTTCGATATCACATCACATCACACATTTTAAGTGTGGGAGAGCCATGCTTCGGCACGAATGGGCCGACTCGACCGGAGTGATACCACGGCCTCACAGAAAACCGACGTGAAGCAAGGCTTGCGTTGTGTTTCGTCGTGTGAGTGAGGTTACCGGAGGCCCAATTACCCTCCCCTTCCCCAATCTCCCCAATCCCTGAATTCCCAACGATCCTCAAACTCCTAATCCCCAAAAAGCCGGTAACGCACTTGTAACGCCTCTGGTGTTCCAGATGTTCATGGGCGACGCGGATTGCTTTAAAAATTAATAAATTTATTTTAGTTTAAAAAAAATTCGTGGAAATACGCACATGAAACACTAGACGTATATTTGTAAGCACTATTCGCATCGCACGTGATAACCGACAAGAAATACCTCTTCGAAAATTATATGGCGTAATGTTTTGATAATGTACCATGAGTTTTTTTTTTTTTTTAAACATTGCCCCACACTAGGATTTTCTCCTGTGTCGTGGGTGCGTTTACAAACATACAAGTTCACATACACAATGACACCCAGACCCGAAACAACAATTTGTGGATCACACAAAGTGTTGTTCCGTGCGGGAATCGAACCCGCGACACGTTGCACGGCAGCCGGTTGCCCAGCCACCGCACCAACCGTGCAGTCAGGTTGGTATGCGCTTTTGAAGTTTACTTTTTGCAATGGTTTACCAGTTATTTTTTTGTTTTTATTTTTTATCTATTTATGTTTTACTCAATTGCGTAAGGAGGACTTAATGCTAACATCATTCTCTGCCAGTCATCCTTTGGGGAGTGCTGAAATGTATGACTGTGGTAGGTGGTAAGCTGCAAAAGTGTTATGTATAAAAATTTTATGTTTCTAACATTTAATTTTTTTGTAAAACTATCGTATTTGTAAACAACCATTTTACTTGACGAAAACGAAATAGATTTCACGGTATATGTACCTATGTCCACATTGAACTTTTCAAGTGTAATAATAAACACATTCGTTTGGAGCCGTAGTATTACCCCCTTTTTTAATATCACTGAGTTTTCAAAACCCAAATATGTACAATATGTACATAGTTTCAATGCCCTATAGGAAAAAGTGTTACAAAATACATATCAATATAGATTTGTGTTCAAACACATCAAACCACTACATTAGCCACCAACAATTTAGCCTTACAAACAAAAATTTACCCTTAATTAAAGTGGACACAATTATTTACCTCCACGATCTGACATGGGTCAATTGTACCCCGTCAAAGGCTGAGTAAATTTTTAATCTGTCAATAAGCGTCGAATGTATTGTCATTAACCAGTAGTGCTCCCGTCGAACTGACGGGTCAATTTGCCCAGCTTATTAAAGCATCAATCAGTCGTTTTTATTGCAAATGGGTTAATTGCTGAACTACTGAGTATGGGAATTTATTGGTATTGTTTTGACAGTTGTAGTTGTAGTGGTAAGGGCTATTTTTAAGCTGGATGTCAGTTAAAGAGTTGAGTGGTTTATAGTAGTCGATTCCTTTTCTGTATATCGCTTACAATTTTTATTTTAACGTCATAAAACAAAGGTTTACGCCTTACACATATTGTAAGAACTAATACAAAATATAAGAAACGTTCTATATTTATGGAAGTACCTATGAGTTAACGAAAATTATACTTTATCTGGCCACGTCATCACTTAAAACCAGGCCAATTAGCAGTTAAATGCTGACCTATGAAATATAAAATAATAAAAAATAATATCTACCTATGGCCACACTCTAAGTGCGGACGAGCCATGTTTCGACACGAATGGGCTGTCTCGACCGGAGTGATACCACGGCCTCACAGAAAACCGACGTGAAACAACGCTTTCGTTTTGTATCGTCGTATGAGTGAGGTGGCTGGGGATCCAAATACCCTCCTCCCTTCCCCAATCTCCCCAATCCTTGAATCCCCAACAATACTCAAATTCCTTATCCCCCAAAGTCCGGTAACGCACTTGTAACGCCTCTAGTGTTCACGGCGTCCAGGGGCGACGCAGATTGCTTACCTACGTCGTTTACCGGTTTATTCCATAAAAAATTCACGACACAATTAAAAATCCAATTCTTTCTTGTTGCAGGTACTAAATGCATCGCAAGTGAACTAAGTGAGAACAAGTGTTAGTGATGTGCCATATGAAAGTGCTTATCGATATCGATAGATACGACTTGTGTTGACAATGCCGCTCTCGAGGTCACATATGATATCGAGTGTGCTCTGCACTATTCTGCTGCAGTACTGCGTCGAGAGCCAACAGGAGAACCTTATAGAAGAAGCATGTAAGTTATTATTTTTTATTCTCTGTTTGTTTTATAGGGGATTATACGATAAATTAATATTAATTATTCTTTCATTCCTTCATCAGTTCTCGGTGTCAAAAAAAAAATATGGTCTCAAATGAATATACTAATTATGATACTGTTATTAATTGCATTGACATAACAGCTGTACCTACTAAAACTATGAGGTTCCTAAATTTTTTTTACTTATGGAAATCTATATAATAATTAAGGTTAATGATTAAACCTTTGATTTCCAATAAAAAAATTTCAAGTTAAATCCGTCACCAACGTCTGTCACCTCACCGATGACCCCCCATGGCGTTTATCGTGTTAAGATTAACTACTAGTTTAGCTGCTAAAATAAACAATTATTCCAGTGCTCTTGATGTACAGTCAATATGAAAAGTTGATGAACACATTTACATTTTCAAAATTGGGTACTTTCCTTGATCAAAAAATAGATTGTTTCGAGTGTTCAATACAATAAAACAATTTTAATATTTTCCCAGCAAATTTTTAAGAAATAAATATGCTGTTTGACGCTAAAAAGCGTGACGTCACAATGCACAATCTCGTACAAAATTAATTGAAAATTGTAGTTTTTGACATTTCGAAGAAAGTATTGAATTTGACTAGTTGTCAAGTACCCGATTGCTGTACACCGTATTACACGTAAATAACGAACATGATAAGCACCTTAAATGCAAATATTTCTGGCGCTTGTCATGTTGACCGATTAAGGTAATACGGTGCACAACTGTACTAGTTATATTACTTTTTTTTTTTTCTCTCTTCCGCTGTTGCTTACCCTTTGGACCATCACTACAGAGTATAAAACAAAGTCGCTATCCGCAGTCTGTTTGTCCCTATGTATGCTTAGATCTTTAAATATACGCAACGGATTTTGATGCGGGTTTTTTTAATAGACAGAGTGATTCTTAAGGTTTATATGTATAATACATGTATATTGCACCCGTGCGAAGCCGGGGCGTATTGCTAGTGATAGATAATTATATCGATATTATTAAATATCATATGACAATCACAGTAGTAAGTGTCTGTCTATTCGAAATCAAATGATACTTACAATTTATTGATAGACTGACAGACAGAAAGCGACTCGCTTTAATCACGATCAGTAAATAAACCTAAGTGTACACAGCCCTAGCATTAAGACTATTTGTAGGGTTGTCACACAGTCAATATTTGGAATCAATTGTTACCTAAAATAGGAGCGGATTCTAATTCAACAGTGTTGTGCGTGCTTTGGGGTGTTGCCAACCCTATTGGTATTGACTAGCAGTTGGGGTTTGATCTCTATATATTGACTAGATAGTATTGATAACGTAATATTATACCTTTTTTACTCTAAAGAGGTAAATATCTTCTTTCCACGTTCATTTTTATTACACCTCTAGCTTCTGCCCGCGACTTCGTACGCGCATTCCCGTTTCCTCCTGTTCCCGTAAACTGAGGCAACGGTTTAAAAAATAACAGTCTTAGGCAATTGCTATGCAAAAAACCTCTTCTTATATAGCGAATAATTAATCACCGTGCTTGCTCAAGCTGGATTGATGATTTTATACGTTTTATTGCTAACGGCATGATTTCAAATATAAAGAGTTATATTACTGACAATTCGCACACAAAGAAATAAGTTACATATGTTTTCATAATAACTATCGTGAGACATACTAAATTAACTAAAATCGCGGGTTACTTACGTGAATATTTTGAGAAAAGCTCTACTAGTTTCGAACCACAGAGGGGTTCTTCCTCATGAGCAGCGTGCGCGGTCGCGGCGATGTCGCGCAATTTAATTCAAGTGGAGTAGACTGCACGACATCGCCCCTCTGTGGTTCGAAACTAGTAGAACTTTTCTCAGTATATTCACGTGAGTTACCCGTGATTTTAGTTAATTTAACACGTTACACAATATAGTAAAACGCATAAATGTTAATTATTCGAAATTTCCGTAAATTATTGGCCTCAACTATAAATATAAATATATATAAATGAAATAGAATTTTGGAGCAGCCTGTACAGTCTGAATTTTAGAACAACCCGTATAGTGTGAATATTTGAAAATGTGAAACACGTTAATTAGTATGATCATAATTAATGAAATATAATTCTAAATGGAAATATGTATAGTTCTAATCAAATAAAACTACGTTTAAAAAACCGACTTTAAAAACAAAAAAGTAATAACAAACTAAAAGTCGAAACTAAAAGCAAAAAAATAACTATTAGTACTGATAGGTTACCCACCTACTGATAGGTAAGAAGTCGGTGCTAAAACTTATGTATAGGAACATACTATACATAACATAACATCACGCCTTTTTATCCCCGAAGAGGTAGACATTACGGCATTTAATGCCACTGTACAATGTAACACCCACTTTTAACTATTTATGTTATGAGTCCCATGTAATAGGGGCTGAGCCCCATGTGATAGGAGTGAAAATATGAAATAATCTTAAAAGTACTTTATTCATTTAATTTTTTAAAGACATAACATAACATACCATCACGCCTTTTATCCCCAAAGGGGCAGACAGAGTTGCACACAGAAGGAACACCCACTTTTCACTATTCATGTTATGTGTCCCATGTAATAGGGGGTGAGCATTTTGCCAAATACCTAAATAGATATTTTTTTTTTAAAACATACTATACGTAACCCATTTTCTCATCCATAAGAGCTGTTACCAAGAATCAATTACAAGACTGCAATGAGGTCAGTACCATTGTCCCAATTTCGGCCATTACGTCACACAGGCAAATGAGGGAAAGCCCATTACAGGCCTAACCACCATTAATCCTTTTAAAATAAAGGTTTTAAAGGAAGGGGTTGTAAAAGAGTATCTTTTTGGTTCAATTCTAAAAGACCGACTGACGGAAATTTTAATGAAATGTCATGTAACGATTTTGAAGCCACAAATGCGTAGGAATTGGGATGATGACAGGGTATGAAAATAAAAATATAATTAGTCCGTAAGTTAGCTAATGAAAAAAATATTAGACACGTATTTTTTTATTTTGTCGCATAATAAAATAATACTTAGATAAAACGAATCAAAGTTTTGGTGTGGGGGTTAAAACGTCATTTCTACGTATAAAATGTAGGTACATAGAAGTGATGTCACGCGACATTTTAAATCAATATATCGCCGAAAGTATTCGTTTCTGTAAGAAAATAAAAAATACGTGTCTAATGTTTTTAAATAATCTTCCAGACAGACATTAAAATAAAAATTAGGCATCTACCCTATTACCTATGTGTTATGCATAATATAATATAATACATTTGTCGCCATTTATGTTATAAAGCAAAGTATATCATACTATTATTATAAATATGAAAGTTACTTTCTTTGGATGTTTGGATGTTTATCCGTCAATCACGCTGAAACTAATGAACGAATTTTGATGTAATTTGGTAACAGGCAGGGTATGGGCTGACTTTAGTGATAGGATATTTCTACTCCAATTAAATGCTTCCATTGTACCTCTATAAAACAGGAATCATGTTCTACGCGGACGAAGTCGTCAGCAACAGCTAGTTCTTTAGAATACATCAAATAGGCAAGCGTTTCAGTACATTAAATCTTCATCTCTCTTTAGCTTACTCGGGAATCGAACCTAAGAAAGACTTCTTTTTTTAAACAACGTTGCCCTACATTAGGATTTTCTCCTGTGTCGTGGGTGCGTTTACAAACATACAAGTTCACATACACATGACACCCAGACCCGGAACAAGAATCTTTGGATCACACAAAGAGGTGTTCCGAGCGGGAATCGAACCCGCGACACGTTGCGCGGCAGTTGCCTATCCAGCTACCGCACCAACCGTGCCATCTTGGTCTTGCTTAACACACCTCACTTATTACCATTTTATGTATGAGTGAACCAATAACATGTCAATTTTAATTGCGTACAAGTAACATATACTATAGGCAATTAATTTTAAATCCATTGATGAATACTTTAAAGTTCGGCTACCACATGTTCTAGTTGAGTGCGCAATGAACGCCGTAACGTTATAACCTCGGCCAATGTATGCGGAAAATTGCTATAGAGCTGACCATAATTTTGAAGTGAGCAGAAAGCCAATGCAGCAGAGTATGTAAACGTTATTGGGACTTTAGCACGGTGATGTTGTATTGTACCCCAAGTTGCATTATTTTTTTTATTTTTTTTTTAAAAACGTTGCCCCACACTAGGATTTTCTCCTGTGTCGTGGGTGCGTTTACAAACATACAAGTTCACATACACATGACACCCAGACCCGAAACAACACTTTGTGGATCACACAAAGTGTTGTCCCGTGCGGGAATCGATCCCGCGACACGTTGCACGGCAGCCGGTTGCCCAGCCACCGCACCAACCGTGCAGTCAATTATGTAACTTTGAATTGAAACAAAAAAAATTGAACA